AAAAAAAAAAAACAAAAAAAAAAAAAAAAAAAAAAAAAAAAATAGTATGAGTGCCCAGAGGAATAAAATAGGGTGACTAAGAAAATATTTAAGATAAATGTGGTTGTTTACTAAAGCTAAATACAAATTGAGGGTGTATGTTGTAAATTTCTATGTATATAAAATAATGAAATTTTCTACTGTTTAAGTTCATTTACTTTGTCATTAGAACTAAGACAAAGCTATGTATGTGTGGGGGTAATACAACCCAAATCCTACAGAATTTTATGAATCTTGGCAGAAGATTCCACAAGTATAGTAAGATAAGTGTTTTAGATAAACCTGAATTTTTTTATTAAATAGAGGGGTGTAAGTACTGACTTTGATAGTTACACATATTTCTGATTATTGTTTGGTTTTTTAATTGCATCTGGGAATCTTAATTACGGAACAATTCAGCTGGAATGCAACGATGTCGTCCTGTTTTGGCGAATACAGCGCATGCTTGCCATCACTGCAAACACTTTGAGGCAGCAACTCACGAACACTGAAGGTGAGCCCCAGAGAGACTGCTTCCCAACTGGGGTACTTTTAATAGAAAGATGCCAGGGTCCTTACTCAAAGAAAGATTTATCGTAAGCAGACATGGCAGAGTACTCCTGTAAGCCCTGCACTTGGCAGTCTGAGGCAGGAGGATCATGAGTTACCAGTCAGCATTAGCTGGGCTACAAAGTGATGTCAAGAGTTCAAGGCAGCGTGGACTATACAGTGAGACCCTGTCTCAAAAAACAAACAAAAACATTTATGAGAAAAACTAAAAATTATAATTTGCCTTTAAAATATTAATTTAAAAAGCAATTATAGTAAATATGGGCAATAAACATACTGTGTGTCTACTTTCATTACACAGAAATTCTGGTAGGAATGGACTCCTAAGCATCACTTAAAGTTTTGAGAAAGCTGTGCTCCCATTAAAATATTATGGGTTAAGAATGTCGTTCTCACCGGGTGTGGTGACGCATACCTGTAATCCCAGCACTCGGGAGGCTGAGGCAGGAGGATCGTTGCGAGTTCGAACCAGCCTGGGCTACAAAGTGCGCTCAAGGCCAGCCTGAACTGCATAGCGAGACCCTGTCTCAAAAAGGAAAAAAAAAAATGAACAAAATAAAAAGTTCTCTGTAAAGGTATACTGGTTTCATGCTGATAAAAGTACCAGATAAACTGAGAAATTAAACTTAAGAACAGATCTAACATGATGATGAAAAATAAGGACTTACTGTCCCATACATGGCTAATTTTATCATCTTGTGCATTCATAAAATGTTTTTTGTTTATTTTTGAACAGTTAGGCGACTAGAGAAAAACGTTAAGGAGGTATTGGAAGATTTTGCTGAAGACAGTGAGAAGAAAGTTAAGTTGCTTACTGGTAAACGCGTTCAGCTGGCAGAAGACCTCAGTAAGTCTTTCGGGCTGCTCTTTGCCTCATTCCCTGCTCGCCGCCCCCATTTCCGTGGGTGTTCATCTGTGTAATCGCGCACTCACTGAAAAGTTTCAAGTACCTACAAGGAACTTTTTTTTTTTTGCAGAGAAATGAACTAGTAGCATAAGATGCTGACCTAAAGTCTTGTCGCTGCCAAGTACTTTAATGTGTATTTCCTAGAACAACGATTTGTTCCTAGTTACTTATTAAAACCAGTGTAAAGACCAGTCACATTACCTTATCTGATCCTCAGACACCATGCATAGGACAAAATGTTCCAGGTTCATTTCCTAACCAGGTGACCTTTTTTAGGAAATGATATTTAGAAATAAGGTCTGAGAACTATATATGTTCATTGTGATTGAAATGTTGCAGTTCTTGGGTCTTTTCAGTAGGAAGAGGGAGTAAATATTGTATTTGTGTATTAGTATGTACATGTACAGATGTATCTACACACATGTACATCTGTGTTCCTCGTTATGTATATATATGTTGAAACCATGAATTGATGCTGAGACTCCCAATTTTAACCCAGTACTAAATGATTTGTTCTAGTTTTTCCCTTCCCATATTTTTAACTCCCTTTTCAGACTGGTTCCTGTTATTCTTAATACATTTATTTGTTTTGTTCAACCCTCTTACAGGTAACCAAGTTTGTTGCTGTCCCTTCCATTGCAAAAATGTTCACATCACCACCTAAGACTCTTTTTTTTTTTTTTTTTTAATTTTAAAGAATAAAAGAAGGATAACATAATAATAGGGGGGACTTAGCAAATTACAGACAAAATGGTAGGAAATTAGCAATGGTTATCGTTTTACATATTATTATCTACAAAATAGTTTCTCAGGAAAACAAATAGACGAATAATAGTGAGTTAGAGACAAAAGAGGTAGGAGATTATCAAGAGTTGTGCTATACTTTGGTATCTTCAAAGTGGCTTCTAAAGAAAATAAATAGAGCTATACATGAGTGACCTATTGAAAAATCATTAACTATTCTCAATGGTTGTTGTAGGAAACACATAATAATAAACATACATTATGAAATAGGATAGGAACATTACAAACTTAACACAGTTATGGATAGATTAGTAGGAAAATATCAATGGCTGCTGTACACCACCTAAGACTCTTAATCACCCCATGCCATTAACTCCTGTGTTGATGTTCTTTCCGTCTTGTCTGGGCCTGACAGCCTAGGCCAGGCTGCTCCCCTCTGTGGAGTCCTCTCTACCGAGCTAAGACTGACCCTCTGTGCCAGGCGCTTCCCTATCTTGTCCTCCTCACCCTTCCCACCTGCACCCTTTCCTCAGCAGAAGCCAGGCCATGCTTGTGTGAGGGCGTCCTCCATCCTGCCTGTGCTCCAGCACTGTGCGTCTCACGTTCTCGAGACAACACCGCGCTTACTATTGGAGTAAAGCTAGAGTTAGAAAGAGGAAAGAAATTGGGGCGGGGACACTTCCCGTCTGGGGAGGTCACTGAGGACGCTGTGGAGATGGTTCCATGCAGCAGCAGGGGGAGGACGGGAAGAGCCCAGGGCACCTCAGGGTGTGGAGGTGCGGAGGTGCTGGAAGGGCCAGGGGCGTGACCAGCAGGACCCGGAGGCCTCGTGCGCCTCTGACTGGTGAAGCCTGGGACACTTTTGGCATCAGAATAACGACAGTGACAACTTGTAACTCGTTAAATGGAAGGAATCCGTGAATTGGTAATTATATAAATGAATGAATAAAATCCATGATGAAGAACAGGTTGTTTATATAGCCACACAAAATACTTCCGCAGAAAATGCTTATTATTAACTGAAGGGAAAGAGTAATTTTACATGGAGAAGCCGGCAGTCACCACCTTAATCAAGTGGTCAGAGTTATATTATCAGTAATGGTCGAATCAAGGTGGCCACCTTTGTAGGGTGCAGTGAGCAGAGCCCAGATCACATGCCTGTGATCCAGCACTCCGGAGGCTTAGGAAGGAAAATCAAAAGTTCAAGCCCAGCCTGGGCAACTTAGCAACTTAGAGAGACCCTGTCTCAAAATAAATATGAAAAGATCAGGGGTGTAACTCGGTGAATACCCTGGGTTTGGTCCTTAGTACCCACCCACCCCCAAGAGCCCAACATCATTTCTTAGATAGTCTTATTAAAGATAATATCACTTAAACTCAATCATAATACATCAGACGAACCCAATTAAGATACAGTGTAGAAATAACTGGCTTACGTTCCTCAAATGTATCAGCACTGTGAAAGACAAGGAAAGCCTGGGGCCTGTCCAGCTTACAGAAGACGGGGACCTGAAAACCAAGTGCAGTGTCGCGTCCTGTACCGGCTCTTCTTGTCTAAGTGAAACTTGAAAGTGATCTCCCGTTCCATGGTGATAGCACATCAGGGACGGTTTTAAAATTCAAAGTATTGAGTTGAGATTATTTAAGAAAATATCCTTATTCAAAGCTGATGAGCAAGAGATTGTGGGTGGGGGGACATAATGACAATAAATGTTTCAGGAAAGTGTGTTTTTTATGTTTTTTCCAGTGAGCCTGAGGTTATTTTCACATAAAGAATAAACAGGAGTTTGTGTCTTTATAACTAATGATAGATTAGGTCATGAGAAAATAGAGAAAGTCAGGCTTGGAAACGTGTTCTCTGACTGGGAAGGCAGGGAGCTCCTCCTTCCATCTTAGTTCCTTATTGGTAGCATCTGCTCCAAACCATCCAGGGTTTAAATACACCCAGTATGACCTTGAGGAGACCATTTTGATTTTGTGGTAAGATTAATTTCAGAGGGTTTGTATAAGTATTTAAATACAGTGTCAACTAGGGTGAGATCTCCTTGGACCCCCAGTGTAAATAAGAGTGCTAACATTGCCCAGACGTGTTCATTGGTTCCCTGCCCCATCCACGCGGACACTGAGAACCTGGGCACCGCTGACAGTGGCTGCTTGTGCTTGTTCCATTTCGTCAGTGCAGTCTGGAGCTCGGTTACTGTCTGTGCTGTGGATGTTGTATCAGCTATAAACTATGTGGTTTTGTCAGGTTTCTTTTATGACTCTTGCTCACTAAAGCTGAAGCTGTACTTTTAAGTCTCTGTATAATTAGAGAATCATTGATACCAAGGAACTAAAGGGTATTAACAATCATTTAGATTGCTCTTTCTAAGGAAAGACTGAGGATTCTTTCTCTCTTTATTTTACAATAAATTCTTCATTTTTGTGTTAAAACATGAAAATGTGAGTGTGAATTAATATTTGAATACTTTCAAAGTGCTTTAACTGAATCATTTGATTTTCCTCGGTGCTCTTGGAGCTGAATGCAGTCGCTCTCCTCATTTTACAGATGAAGACTTGGAGGCTTACTAGTAACTGACTAGCAGGTGTTAAAGCCAAGATTTGAGCCAGGTCTCTTAAGTTACCATGTCAAACTAACTTAGGGAGGAAGTCAAGCCTTTGGCAAATGTAATTACCCAGTACCGTCCTTTATGTTGGGGTGCGTCCACAGTTGATGGTGCCCACCATGGGGGGGGGCCACATGGAGGTGGTGGCGGCCATTATTACCTTCACTGTCACTGTGTAACATTCCTCTCCTATAAAAAGCTTTGGAATTTAGACTCTGACACTGTATGAGAACTTCGATAGCCCATTAGGTAAGGGAACTCTAAAGTGTATATGAAGCCATTAAACAGATTAAAGGAAGTTCATATTCCTTATATGACTTATAAGCGTAGCTCTAAATATACTCCAAGCTCACCGTAATTAAGTAACATCCAGGTTGCCCAGGATTCAGTCTTGCAGTGTGGTTGTGTTCATACTTACTGATCGCTGAAGTCCAGCTAGGACACATAAGGAATCTTTAAGTGAACAAAGTGGCTGTTTTCCTGAATGTAGGCTTTTGTTGGGCTAGTTTGGGAGTGCTGAAATGCTGAAAGATTCAGTGTATTTCTTCGTATTTGCCAGTGCATTGTGAAAACAGTAATAAATTCCTTTACTTGGATGCAACGTACAGGCTTTTGTATGGTGTAGTTTAATATTGTTACTGTTGAAAACAGTGTAACTAAAGAGGCTGGTCAAGTAGAATTTTTCAATATCCTCAGCACTCCCTCTCCCCGGTTAATTTGCCCTGCTGACTCCCTACACGAGGTGGCAACAGCTGGCCTTTTTACTGGAGCTCAGGGGATTAGAGAGCGGGAACCGCAGCAGCGCGCGCGGCCTCCTGCCTCTGTTGACTGTTCTTTATTGTTTGATGCCTGAGCATCTCCCGGACAGCAAGCGATTGTTGGTGGAAAATTAGAGTTGGTTTCTCTTGGACCTGTACAACGCTGTGGGGGCTCCTCTTCGTGTTTCTTCATGTTCCCAGTCTCCTCTTCCCCTCCAGCCCATGCTGTCTTGATAATTAAAGAGGTGCAAAGACACCACCTTTGCATCTTGGTCTGCAGGAGGGTCAGTTGTGACCCTAAAATTTATCAGTACAGACTGCAGATGAAAGTCTTTTTTTTCTGAGCTACCAGATACTCAGAATAGAAATCACCTTTATAATGAAAACTTTGTTCTTCATAGTTACTGTTATTTACTGACAGAAAACAAAAGTGCTATTGCATTTTTTAAATTATGGTGATCCAAAGGGAGCAACAGCAGACTATGCCAGAACTGCCAATGTGTAGTTATAAGAATAAGTCATGTTAAAATGTGAATTAAGCAGGCAGAACATAGCTAAGTAAAACCCTTTTCGATAAAATTATTTTAATGCATTTAGAAAGGGAAAATGTCATAATGCCCTTGAATTTAACTTCCACTGGTTACATTCCTAAATTCTTCCACATCTGCCATATCTTTGAGAGTTATTATGGGTGAGAAATGCCCCAGAAAGAGTATGATACTCAAAATTTGGACTGTAAAATTACAAAACGGGAAAGTTGTATGTGTAAAACTTTTTCCTGAGGCGGGGTTCTGGCCTGAATACTTCTACAAGGCTCTGCGGGTGGTTCCTG